GCCGTCGTGCTGTATATATACTCAAGGTCGGCGCTCGCTCGCTCAGTTGCCGCTCGTCGGTTGGTTTGTACGGCGTGTCGACGTCCAAGGTCGCGGTGAAATGAATTCCAACGAATCCACAAACACAATGATCGACGTCCCTTCGACCAGCGCCGCCCTTTCGCATACGTGTGTACGTGTTCACTCATTTAACACCCCCTCCTACAACCACGTTAACCAATTTAGCCATCGACCCAAGTAAGTCGCAATTTAACACCCCATTTCACAACCACGTTAACCAATTTAGCCATCGACCCAAGTAAGTCGCACTTTAACACCCCGTTAACCAATTATATGGTCCGCATCCTCCTCAGTGTTCCCCCGAGGGAAGCTGCGGGCAATTTTTTCCTCCATAGATTTACGCTGCGGCTACTGGCAGATCGAAGTTGATGAATGCGACCAAGAGAAAACAGCATTCATAACGCCTGATAGTCCGTACGAAATCAAGGTGCTGCCCTTTGGTCTGTGTTCTGCTCCTGCGACATTGCAGAGGATGATGGATACTGTGCTGTCCGGTCTCGAGTGTGAAGCATGCATTCTTTACTTAGACGACGTCGTTGTCTTCTCACAAATGTTTGAGCAGCACTTGCAGCGACCTAGATATGTGTTTGTTGCAATTCGTACGTTAGGCCTATCACTGACACCAGAAAAATGTCATTTTGGTTACAACGAAATAAAGTTTCTCGGACACCTTGTTAGCCACGATGATATTCGGCCCGACGCAGACAAAACATTAGCTGTTGCCAATTTTCCACCACGTGCCAAGAAACGTGATAAGCGTCGATTTTTAAGTGCACACTACAGACATTTTGTGCAAAATTTCGCAAACATTGCCGAACCCCTCACTCGTCAGACAAAAGAAGATGTTCCCTTTGCGTGGGGCCCTCAGCAAAGACGCGCTTTCTCCGAGCTCCAGTGGCGTTTCCAGACTGAGCTCTTACTCGGACACTATGACGAAGGTGCCGACACTTAACTACACACAGACGCCAGTAACATCAACCTTGGTGCAGTACTCGTCCAGCAGCAAGGCGGCGTCGAACGTCCTATTGCTTATGCGAGCCAGATTTTATCATCTGTGGAGGCGAACTACACAACCACTTAAAAGGGGTGCCTAGCTGTTGTCTGGAAAATAGCTAAATTGAGACCGTACCTGTATGGTCGCTTGTTCAGAGTTGTTACTGATAGTCATGCGCTCTGCTGGTTGGCGAACCTCAAAGACCTTTCCGGGCGTCTGGCCGGGTAAAGCTTACGCCTTCAGGAGTTCTATTTGACAGTCGTGTACAAGTCTGGCCGGAAGCATACTGACGTGGACTGCATTTCCCGAGCTCCTTTTACGACAGCGTCAGGTGATCACGATTTCGACGGCCGTTTTTCTGCGCCGTTAGTGTATCCGACTTGGCTGAACAGCAGAAGAACAATTCCAAGCTTTGACAATTTATCGAATATCTTGAAGGCCGCAGGCTGCATCCACCACCAGCATTTCCACGCTCGCGATCATCGCTCTGCATTCGCAGAAATATCCTATATAAACGAAACTTCGACCCTTACGCGACTGAGTATCGGCTCGTCGTCCCACCAGCGTTACTAGCCGATGTCTTGTCCGCCTGTCACGATGAGCCTTCCTTAGGCCACTTAGGATTCAGACGTACCTTGGCGCGGATTCGCAAACGCTACTACTGGCCTAAGCTCAATCGCGACGTGAAACATTACGTGAGAACGTGTCACGAGTGCCAGCACCGTAAAGCACCACATCAGTGCCCAACCGGCTTTTCGAAGCCCGTCGCTCCTACAACACAACCATTCCAACAAATTGGCATGAATCTGATGGGACATTTTCCCCAGTCTCGTGACGGCAACCGCTGGATTGTAGTCGCTACTGATTACATGAAGTGCTACAACGAAACGAAGGCAATACAACGTGACACCGCGATTTAGACTGTCCACTTTTTTATGAAAAACATCATCCTCCGACATGAAGCACCAGCAGTTGTCATAACTGATCGTGGCACAGCTTTTACCACCCGGATGATACAAGACGTCATGCAGTTTAGCAGAACAGTACACCGAAAAACTGCGGCATACCACCCACAAAGCAATGGCCTTACAGAGCGACTAAACAAGACGATCGCCGACATGCTACCCATGTACCTTGACCAATACCACAAAAACTTGTATGACATCGTCCCATACGTCACGTTCGCTTACAACACCGCTGTACAAGAAACAACTGTATTCACACCATTCCGGTTGCTTCACGGCAGGGAGGTCACTACAATACTGGATGCCATGCTTATTCCAGACAGGCATCAGATTAGTGTCAAGACGAACGAATTTATCAGAGTAGCCCATGCAGCTCGTAAGCTTGCAGTCGAACGAGTCCCTAAGCGAGAATGCATCGACTCGCTGCGGTACAACGCTCGTCGTTGCGGTGTCTTATCAACCCGGAGAACGACTATGGTTGTGGACTCCCATTTGACAACGGGGCCGGTCGGAAAAGTTGTTACACCACTATTTTGGTCCCTATAGAGTTATCCATCGTCTCAGCAAAAGGAACTACGAAGTTCATGACGAGGACATGGCTCGTATATCCCGCCGTTCACAACAGCCACACGTCGTCTATGTTTCGAGAATGAATCTGTTTTATCAACGCTGACTATACATCAAACTTCCTTGAGTGGACTTACAGTGATTGTGGACACCCTCTTGTGTTCTGCTTATCGTATGTATTTTATTTTCATCTGGTAATTAAGTTGTGACATCGGGACGATGTTCTTTGGGAAGGGGGGTAATGCCCATAGTACAAGTTCTGCAAGTAATGTTTCCCTAGATGCTGGCAGGCTTGTGTGTGCCGCTGTTCAAAATAGGACGAAGATGTCCTTGCGGAAACGACGATAACGTTGTATTGCCGTTGATCGAATCAGTCTGACGTCCTTGTGTGGTCTTATCTACAAATTGCAGTTACGGTGTAACGGGACAATATATAGTGTTCTGCATGGGGTATACAGGCCATTTCTGAACGCGGCGCGTGAATGTACAGGGATGGGGGTTCAAATGTTTCCAGGCCACGCTTAATTCATAGCAATATTGGGATAATGGTCTGTGAACTTCAGACCCCTTTCGCTGTAAATGTGCGGAAAATAGAATACTCAACATTTCACTAGTTCTTCGAAGGGAGAGAAAACAAAAAAAAATGTTTTGCTATGACCGCGTTGATGCTTCCCGGGACCAAATTTGTCATGTATGCTTGCTATGTCTCCATCGCATTGGTACCATCAGGAATCGTAACAGCAGGTACGACCTCGAGCTGGAAGTTTAGAGCTGCTTGCCGTTCTTCTCGTGACATTGCAATTAGTTGCATTTTCACGAGGTAGCATTCATATTTTCGTCCTTTTCGTGACACAAGGCACATTGATGATTGGTTTAACGTCCCAAAACCACCCCATGGTTATGGCAGACGCTGTAGCGGAGAACTTCGTAATTTGCGACCACCTGGGGTTCTTTAAAGAAGCCCTGAAACACTTCTTCAAGTAATCATAGAATGAATTCACTGGAAGAGATTATTGCCTCAAAAATCAAATGGCGCAAACATTTTAAGAATCTGTCGAGTGCGAATGGAGTTGCAAAGGTTTGTCGCATGCTGCAATTGCATTCTCTCTTCTGTCATCCCGACGGCAGCGCTGGAAGCTAATCAGGGAGGGATGACACAGCCATAGAAAAACGTCACGCGCGTTTCGCAACCTTGAGCACTTTTTCTCCTTTTCTTCTCTTCGAATGCGCGGCTCTGTCAGTGTGATCGCGCGCGCACGCGTAGACACGTAGTGGCCTCCCACGGCGATCTCTGTAACGACCAAGCGCGCCATGTTAAAATGAGCCAATGGCTGATAGATGGGTCATTGACGTGTAATTTTTGGGCCTATAACGTGATTTGTCGAGAGAAGAGAAAGCAATTTTTAGCTGACTTCGATAATTTATTGTGAATGCAAGACCGCGAGCTGCGCTATAGTATTTTGCGCATGTTGTCGGGAGCCTTTGCTACCGATCGGCAGTGTTTCCTGGCCATGCTCAAAAAGTGTTGCAGGACCCCATTTACGTTCACCCAAACCTGAGCACAAGGGTGTACAGCATTTTCACCTCCGACAAAAATGCAATCGCCGCAGCCCGGATTCAGTCTCCCGACCTGCGGGTGAGCAGCCGAGTACCTTAGCCACTATACCACCACGGTGGGGCAACACAATGCGCAATAAATGCCCAACTACCTATGTGAAGACACAGTTCCTTTTTGTGTTAAACCGATTCCTAAAAACAGGGATCAGCCACACTATTCTTTTTTTCTATAAGAAGGTCCTTTTGTTTAAGTACACAGGACATTAGGCGGCCCTGAAACAAAAAAATGTATTTTTTAGAGGTCGAAGTTCCTAAAGCCGTTGGTCTGTCCTTCCTCTATGACCGGTTCATAACCACCTTTTCAAACTGCCCATGTACTACTTCCTCCTTGAAACTTCCCAGTACGCCACATCACCGAACCGCCACTTCACCGATCATCAACCACCTTTGCAAACAAGAACAAGAAAATAAAAGTTGTTTTCTTTGATATACGCGCAGTCCTACGTCTTTCTAATGATGCATAGGGCTAACTTTCACAGCAGAGCTAAGATTTACCAATCATCTCCGCCTCTCGAGCTTCGCCTACTAATCATCATTCATTCCTTGAATATGGCGTGATTTTTTTTTCTGGTTAGGGACGCACAGGTCACCGCAGCATCTGTAAACAGCGAATTATGTAGTTAAACTTTCCTGGGAAATCAAAAAGTTTTTATAAATGCTGCATCAGAGCATGTTTTACTTTATCTCGCTGGGTTATTAATTCACTTATATTGTAGTTCTTCATGCTGTGTAGCCTAACAGACAGAAATTGGAAGTCATAAAACACTCATTGCGCAAGCGTCTTGGGTATGCCTTACCCAATCTTAGGAACGTTCCTTGCTCGTCAAATGGTTGCCGCTTTCCCTGGAACGAGAAAAGCATTTCCAGCGCTGCTGCGCAGACTTGTTCTGCGTGGTCTTCTCGCCGTTCAGGCGCTCCACTCACGAGCATGTAAACTTGACCAACAGTTTCCACCTGGGAAAAAACGCCAAACTTGCGCGTAAGGCACAGCATAGTCACAGCGAAAGCTAAAAGAGTGGCTTTTCAGGACCTTTTCGGAACACTCATTGGGTAACTACTGCAAGCACACGTGCTTGGTACCCACTAGGACATTATTCATAAATTTATTTAGGTAGTAGGCTGGCATTCGCTATGCTTTTTTTTTGTCATTCTTCTGAGAAGCGTGTCATCCGCTAAACACTTGCAAGAAATTTCGTGCCTATTGTTCATAGAGTGGCTGATGACAATAAAGAATTGTGGCTAAAGTGGATATGCGGGGAACAAGAACAAGCATTTGTAATGGGTTGGAGTATTGGACGGCCCACTCTTTACGCTATTTGCATTGTACGATGACTGCTTGTTCTTTCGCTGTTTTAAAACGCTTTATAAGTCGTAATAATGCAATTGCTTTCCCGACATCAAGCCTGCTTAAGGCAAACTTGACAAGTAACAAGCACCAGTGTACCTCAGTTGTATAATACTGGGCTGTAACCCAGTGAAGCCGGGTTCGATCCCCACTGTGTCATTGGTGCTAGGTCATACGTGCCTAAAGAAAGTTTGACGACAAGTTACAAGCACTGGTGTAGCTCAGCGTAGAATACTGGGCTTGCATCCAGAAGACCCGGGTTGTAGCCCCATTGTTTCATTAGTGCTAGGTTTTTTCTTCTAATTATGTGCGAAGTGGTTACGGACACCAGTGGCAGCAGTGGCGCCGGACAACTTTGCGTGACCCGAGTTGTGATCTCATAACCGCTTTCGCTCTAATATTAGACTCAGTCCTGAGCAGCAGCACAGTACCGTCATTTTTATGACACTTTTTTGTAATTTTATTTATTTCTTACACCAAACAGTTCTCTAATTAATAGCTGGTTAATCAAAGATTTTCTGCGCTATTCTAAAGCAATCCTTACGTTCGGCTAAGTAGGAACGTGTGATTAAAGATTTTGTGCATTTTGCATGGTACGTGGCTTTAAAAAAACATGCGTGCGTGGGCGTGTGTTTGTGTTCGGCACTCCACGTAGACGCACCTTGAACACGTGGTAGCGATCCGTGATAAGATCGAAGAGAGAAAATGTTGCGTTCACCCAGCTGACAACTTGCATGGGGCTCAAATGCCGGCAGGCCATGGGAAAGTTGACCAGTTCACTGAAGAGCACCGTCACGCTGTCGAACGTCTGTGCGATTGAAGGTAAATATGTGAAAGGAGTTATACTTTAAAGCACTCGTCTTGTACAGGCGAATAATCGCTAGTCATGAGGCTATGTCTGGCAATAGGCATAAAATAAAAGCACGCGGCCCTTATCCACAGCAATAAAGTTTTAATAACTAGTAAACTATTAGAAAAATTTTAGAGACATAAATATTCCGAGTGTTTAGGCAACGCTGCTCTCGGGAAAATGAGGCGGCCTTAAGTTAACTGGGTAATTCATTATATGTAGGTCTTCGCAAAATCCCCACATGATTATGAAAGACGCTGTAGTGGAGGGCACTGACAATTTCAACCACCTGGGCGAACGCTGCACGGGATGTTCGCGAATGCTACACCGAAGGAGTTGAGGCATGAAAAGAGTTAAGGTCACGCAAGTTCCCGTCGGCGCGTATACTGAGATTGAAGGCAGCGTGCATGGTGAGTCCACCGATTTTAACCGCTGCCTTGCCTGTAGTGGCGCACGAGACCTACGCGTTGTGCGAGTATGGGGAGGCAGTGTTGGTGTAACGGTTGTAGGCGTTTATAGTGAGCCGCAGAACAAATGTCGCGACATAACCCGCCACGCAAATTGGCAACATTTTGAGTAGGTTGGAATTGGGTGTTCATAGTCGGCAGATGAGTTCGCAAACAACTTCGAACTGCTCCTCTTTGGTGAGCCGCATCATTTTTCTGTAGGCGTCACCAGTCATCGGTGCAACAACTTTTTGCCACCACTAAGTTATCCTCAGGGGCTCCTAGCAAGCCTTCGTTGCCGTTACGCATTTGGGAATCCTGAGAGCTATCTGCGCACATCTGAAAGCATATGTCACGCAGATGGTGCACGTCGAATTTGCTGTTATATTCCGATCTCCTCAGAACCGTGGCGTCAACATTTACGGCGTACATATGCTCAAAAGCGTTGTTGTCCAAAATGTACACTTTCCAGCGGAAAGTAAGAAACAGTGTAACCACTTCGCGCTTGTACTTTAGTGAGTCATCAATGGAGTAGCATAGGTAATGAATGTCGGCTGGATCACGGTGATTTTGGTGGGAGTGGAGATCACAAAGCGATGCAAGGTCTGCCAAGCACACGTCTTCCAAGTTGTCGGGGCGGTCTTCGTACCTCCGCATCACACCGAATTTTTGCACATCCGTTGACGCCACCTCGATTCCGGCTACTTCTATTAGCGCACGTGTTTTGTGAACGCATGTACGTTCTTCCGGAAGGCATGTGGCAATATACAAGATACGTCTACTTGACTCTGACATATCATGTTGGAGCAATGTCCAAGCAGCTTCCTGAGCACTCATCTCAACAGCCCTCCGTATTCGAATGCCAAGTACACGCAGCGCCTGGCGATAAGAGATGTTCGGAATGTGTGGCAAAGTGTCCAAGGCTGCTTTGTGTAGACTTGAGACTTATCTATGAGACTTATGCATGTAATCTACACCGTAAGTCACACACGAGTACGCATCCAGGATTATCTGGTGGTCTATGTTTGAGCCCAGCACAGTGGCGACTCACGGGTTGAATACGTCGATTTATTTTTGCTGCACTGCTCCTTAAATGAACAAGGGCAGGCACATAATGCCAGTGTGAAGCACGGAGATGCATAATGTTCAAGGAATGTGACTGCGTGGTGGTGAATTAATTGGTTGATATTGTCGTGTTCTTTACTTTCTAGAGCGACATGCATCTGCAAGAAGCGCTCTTTGAGTGTCACGCGTCACGTGGCTTCAGAATCGTCTTCTGTGGGCAGATAGGGAAGCAGCATCGTGAGTTTTCAGTGGCCCATAAAAGAGCGCCCCAACAGCAAGGAGCATTTCCGCGTTTGTAGCGATTGTGCGTGTGTTGGTGTAGTTGAGTACGAATGCAGGGCGAAAAAGAGGTATCGAGAGACACGAGGTGCGTTGCGAGAGGGACAATTTCAGGCATGTCAGGAGAGACGGTTTCGTCAGGTGCGTTTTCCGGCCAGAGCAAGATGTGAGTGTGCGGGCTTCCCCGGTGCTGGACTTCAATTCGCTTGAAGTAGTGTCTGATGCGGTAAGGTCTGAAAGGTGAGCGAGCGGGGCCACGCAGGATGTTTAGGATCACGCACACGAGCCTGTGAAAGTAAATGGCGCATACTAATAAGGGATCACTGTTTACGAGCTGAGCACAGTAGATTTATCTCATTTCCTACACCTGCACTTCTAAGGCAGGATCTTGATAACGCAAAAGTTCGAGTAGAGTGAACAATCTCAGCCAATGACCGTCTTAGGCCTCAGTCCGGCACTCGTAGAGGATCACCGTCTTCAAATGCCAGATGAACAGCGTACTTCCATCCAGGTCTCTCCGTTTCTACGAAACGTTCATCCTCAGCACAACGTAGGAAGGCGCCGGGCTAGGGCCATTACACTTCTGAAGAACATCAGGAAGGATCTTCATTCAGTGTGTTTTGTCGATGCCGCTCAGTACTGTCAATCAGCTAGGTTTTTTGTTATTTCCGCCAATCACAAGGGTTCTATTATCAATGCTGCGTCATTTAGGGACTCTACTCCCTCAAGAGCCAAACAGTTGGCTGTTTCCCTTGCCCTTTTGGATGACAGTAGATCGCAAATCTTCAGCGACTAGAGGTCAGAGGTCAAAGCTTTCGCCTCTGGTTTCGCCCTAACTACTTGAAAATAGGACACTTTCTCCACATACCATTACCTCGTTTCCTGCACATCTCGAACCCCTACTGGACTGTCAAGTAAACCTGAATGACACTGCTCACTCCCGGGCGCACGCACTAACCCTCCGCGCTGGGGAGGACGTAGGTCCGCAGGTTGGCAGTGAGATGTTTAGGGACGCTTTGCTTACATTCAGTGAAGTGGCTGAACACTAACAGTTGAGTAGGCAGTCATTTGCTCCTCCGCACAAAGAGTTGTCTGGACTTCACGCCATCACGTTTAGAATGCTCCAGACCAGGTCCTATCGAAGCTTATTTTTCTTCAGCATAGTCTCCTCAGAGGCTTTTGACTCCACTTGTCCTGATTGTGGTGAGGTTAGTGACTAAGCACATATGCGCTCTGGCAGTGCCCCTCGTTACGGGACCCAAGTCGGCCCACTGAAGACAATTGGGAATCTGCCTTACGAAGTTCAGAGTTGCTTCCACAACTGTGGGCTGTCCAGAGAGCCCATGAAGCGACGGTGAGGCTAGGCCTCCCCGTTCCTACGTGGGACCGGCCCGCGACGTTGCTTTAAAAGAGTATCGTTTCTCAGGACCCAATAAAGTTCTTTGTCTGTCTGTCTGTCTGTCTGTCTGTCTGTCTGTCTGTCTGTCTGTCTGTCTGTCTGTCTGTCTGTCTGTCTGTCTGTCTGTCTGTCAATGCATCTCTGAGGCTCATAGCGTGAGAAACGCAGTTTCTTGTCAAATTAGAGTATCATAGCAAAGACTTCTTTCTTGCGATGCTTCCAATAGTAGGAAGTACTGAGAACGCCCTACATATTGGTCATGTTTTGGTCAATCGAATCTTGTATGAAGTGGTTGTCTTCAAGAATTTCACGTGTGATTTTATAGGTGGCGTCGACGCGAAATGTGACGGCCAGGTCACGACTTCCTCTAAATCGGAGCACCTTCATTGCTATGAACAGGATGTGGTGAGGTGACACACGGTGATGGTCTTTGTGACGTACCTCACTGGTGGCATACGTAAAGGGTGTGGGATGCGCTTTTGATTTAACGTGCCAGGGCACTCCCAGGTATAAAAGAAGAGCTCTACCGCTCTTTCTTCATACACAATGCTGAGAGGCTGTTTGTGTTCACCTGGAGCTATGGTGAGGTAGCGCTCTTCGTCCCATACCGCGAACTGTTCGAATGCATTAAGCGCCACACAGGCATCAACAGGATTTTGTACATTGGGACAGTGGGGAATCTTTCATCAGAATCCTCAAGCAGCTGGAATACATCGTCGTCAGGAAGAGGATCTAAAGAAGAAGGGTCAAGAGTGACACCAATGTATTTCTACAATGTACTTCGACACAACACAACGAGCCAGGGTTTCAACTCTGATTTTTTCACAACACCAGATAGGTAAGTTGCCTTATTTAGAAGCTTTTGCTTAATGTGAACATTGATGGTTTGGCACCCCGCCACGGTGGTCTAGTGGCTAAGGTACTCGACTGCTGACCCGCAGGTCGCGGGATCAAATCCCGGCTGCGGCGGCTGCATTTCCAATGGAGGCGGTAATGTTGTATGCCCGTGTGCTCAGATTTGGGCGAACGTTGAAGAAGCCCAGGTGGTCGAAATTCCCGGAGCCCTCCACTACAGCGTTTCTCATAGTCATATGGTGGTTTTGGGACGTTACAGCGCACATATCATCACTGATGGTGTGGTCTACGTGGATGTTTCGCGGCAACGACTTAATCATTGTATCTCCGTCGAGAGGAACGTTAAAAAAAACTGACAACAAATTTACTTATGTCGAGATTTTTGCATCAAAAAGTGCCTATTGACCCCATAGTAGCCATTCGTGGCCTATAATGCAACTGAAGGACGAATAACTTTCACATATATAGACTTTTATTGCTGTAGTCTATCACGATTCAAAATGAATGGCAATGCCGTCATTTTTATTGCTGGGAGATCTACCAGTGGCACTACCTCGTGGTCCCCTTCATACCAAGCCACAGCTGACCACTTCTCCATGGAAAAGAGTGACGTCAAGCCATGCTGCCCCCCAAACATTTCGTCTGCTAGGCGCATACACTTCGTCATGCCTTGTCACCTGCATTGCCGTCGTCACCGTACGAAATGTCGACTAGTGTCAGCAAGCGCCGCTGTCGCCTTGTGACGGTTTCGTGCTCTCGCATTGCTGCATCTTCCCGCCGAGCTCGATGTTCAGCCGTTTCCTGCTCTCAAACTGCCGGGTCTTGTCGACGCTGTCGCTACACCTCAGCCTCGTACTCTTATGCTGAGATATCCTTCATAATGTTGAGCACAGAACAAGACTGGGTGAGGACTTTTAAAAGCTCCGAGCTCTCAGTCCAATACTCGGAAGTCCAGGAGGCTTGCGAACGTGTGGAGGGCCACGGTCTTCCAACCCCAGCGTGGACGCTGCCAGCAACTGCGGTGGACCCCTCTTAGGGGGGTGTCTGATCAGTTCTCCAGAGCCAAAAAAGTTCATTTCACTTCACTTCGTCTGCTTCGTTCTGTCTCACTGCCGGTTCTTTTCGTCACTGTCACCTTGCCTCAGCTTCGTGCTCTAGCACTGAGACATCCTCATGGTGGGCGCGCCGTTTGTCCGCTTCGTGCTGTAAAACTGCAGGGTCTTGCCGTCGCTGTCGCTTCGCCTCAGCCTCGCCTTCCCGCAAGACCGCGTCTGGGCGCCTTCGGAGTTGAGCTGCAGCACGTTGTTTTTGCGTCTGGGCACGTATGCAAGCCCGCCTTGTTTCAGCACGAGTAGTGTTTTGTTGGAGCTGTTCGGGCGGTGTTCGGATGACACCCAGCGGCATGACAGCACGAAGCGGCTCGTGATGGACGTGCTGCAACGCTGCATAAACATCAGCCCACTGGCAGCAACTACTGTGGCTAGTAAGAGTTGGCTCTCCGGGAGGGCAGGGGTAGCATAGATGACCTTGAGTACTGGAGCATTCTCCGCGATGGTGACGAGGGCGCGATGACATCACCGTGAAAAATGATTTATCAGCGGAATGCACTGCAGCGGCTCTCCGTACGTCAGCACCACATTCGGTGCGGTGGTTTCCAAAGCGATTCGTTTAGTGCGTGGGAGGCTAAGCTGCGTGGCGTTTCGTTCTGTTGAAAATGACAGATTGAAGTGTTGTTGCACCTAACGTGTATATGATAACCACTGCCTGAAACATAGCACCATTTCAGACGTCAAAACAAAGTATTGCAACACAGGGCATAAATTACGTGCCGGACATTTTCTACAACGTTACATTTGGTGAGTTTATAAGTTAAGCGCCATATGGTCAATGTAGGTAAGATGCCATGGTCTTGCGAGAGCGTCGTTACAGGCATGTTTCACAACACTGTGGCACACTTGTGCATGCGTGGAAATACATTGAAAAGAGGCAGCTGAACACATGCGGCTGTAGTGGCTTTGCAGACACTCGTACGTATAAGTGCGCATGAGCATACATACACCTTGGTTTGTTGAAGCCTGAAATTTTTTATTGTGCGCGAAGGCCATCGCCGACGTATGCGGGCGAAGTAAAATGTGCACGATTGGTAAGCCATATGCAGACACGTGCATAAAGGCGATTGCGGTATTGGTTTGTTTACGGCCGTAAATACTTGAGGCGGTGAGAACACTCTACAGAGAATTACGTGGCACGCATGCAGTTTTTTTGCGGTACCACACGTTTCAGAGCCTTCCCCTGCGTGTCAGGCTGAAATGACTTATGACAAACTGTACAGAGCCTGCAAAGCGTGCATAGCCGCTGGATACCTAGCTGTGTCTCAAGAAGCTTTTTCGGTGGCTATTTAGACTCGTGCGCATGTTAAGTGTAGTTCATGACTGTCGCAGGGATTATTGCACAAAATCAGTTTCAACGAAAACGTGAAGCAATGAATACGATAGCGACAACTTGCAAAGTTATACGAAGTCAGGCTGGCAGTGAACTAATTCTGATCCGATCTCACGTAACTCTACAAAACGCTTGTGTAAGAGAACACGGTGGCTCCAGCTACACTTTTGGCACTGTTTTTTTTTTGTTGAGAGCGCAGTCCGTAGAAGCTCCCGGCCGCTGTGGGGACACAAGCCGTGCACTAATCGCTACCATCACAGTACGCCCCCCCCCCCCCCCCCTTGTTTGCTCACGAGATAGACACGCGTGCGCTAGAAAGGCGATGTTTCTTCCTCAGAGAGAGGAGGCCAGCGCATCTTTCCCTGCAATATATCTATATATATATATATATATATATATATATATATATATATATATATATATATATATATATATATATATATATATATATATATATATATATATATATATATATATATATATATGTGTGTGTGTGTGTGTGTGTGTGTGTGTGTGTGTGTGTGTGTGTGTGTGTGTGTGTGTGTGTGTGTGTGTGTGTGTGTGTGTGTGTGTGTGTGTGTGTGAGACTTAGAGGAGAGGAATGGTCAGGAGAAGTGGAACATGGTGTATGAGCCGGCCACGGTTCTCTATCATCATAGCATCAGACATGTCGACAGGATGAAGACCTGGCAGCCATTTCACTAGCCACGCATCATCAATCAAGCCCTCAACACGACGCCTGTGGACTGCATAAGCGGATCCTCGTTGCATGTTGTGGCTAGCATCCCGGCATCATCACTGACAGACCTCAACACCCCAAACTACACAGGATCAGCGGACGAGTGCCCCGTAGAGGACTTTTTCAACCTCTTTAAATGCCCTGTTATCGCTGTGTCATAGATCGAACGCGAGATGGTCGCCAACTTCAACGAATACATCAGCGGTGAGGCATTTAGGGTTTATCTGACACACATATTCGAAAACAATAAATCATAAAAAACAATCAGAGAAGAAATGACCGTTTAGTTTCGAAAATACAATGAAGACTTGATTATAACGCGTCAGCTGGAAGCTTGTCAGCTCGCCCATCACAGTAAATAGAAGTCTTCCCGCAATAAGCGTACTTTCCAAACAAAACCTCAGAAAAAATTTTTAATCCATGTACCATCATACGATTATTCTGAATTAACGTCACGCATTTGAACACCGACGATGAACTCGCACGTCCAAACAGACTAGGTAAAGCCTCCGTATAACGTACAAAAGAAATCTAGACCACTTAACTAAAATATTGAACCTTAGCGGGCTTTCCCACGGGCAATAAAATCGGCATTTTCAAGGTGTTCACTGCACCATAACACTCCAGGTGTTAGTGAACCACCCGAATCACATGATGCTTCGAGTCACACACATGGGCCACATGGCTTCTGACGTTTGATGGCATTTACACGTGACGAGCTTACGAATCGTCACAACACCAGCCCACACCCTGAAGTTCTAGACCAGAGTCTTTCGATAGAAGTTCTCAGCTCAATCACGCTGTAAAAAAAAAAACGCCATCAGAACTACCTCAAGCCATGTCTACTGTGCTCTCATCGTCAGGTGATAACACACATGCGAGTCCAAGCACTACAGAAGCTTCGAATATACCAACGCCAGGGAATTGTGAACTAACAAAACATTTACGATGAATGATGACTCACAATCATCTCGGAAGCTTTCCCAACAATCTGCCATAATGCTTTCATCACACAAGCCCTGCAGTAGAGTATCGACTGTATACCGACTATCAACAGATCACATCATCGTGCAAAGAAAAGCAGACTCATGTTCCTGAAAGATGCCCATCTAACCAACTTTCACAACAAAACAAGCAATTTCAACAAAGGCAACTCCACGAACCCCAGATACTACAACGGCTACTCGAACTAGTACAGTGACGAAGTGAAACCTCATCACGAGTACACTTATGGCTTAAAAGTCATCAGACACAACACCAGTTAAAGGAGCAAAGACAAAGTCATTGCCTAAGCCATTTTCGCAAAAAATCAACGTCGACAAAGTTTCCTGCACCAGTTCTCAATGCCGTGTCTACGATTCAATAAACTGAGAGAACGCCACCGAAAGTTACAAAAGAGACATGAAGCTACCACGTGTACAACGCAGGAAAATAGTCATCGTCCTATCAGCCTTGGTTATCACGAATGGCGACTAGAAGCAAAGCGTCTGTTGCCACGGACGCAGGATGCAATGCCAGAGACACCCGTCTATCCAATGTTACACGAATTCCCAGCCTTGTTCGTTCCTCACAAGACCTCAAGTTGTGTTATCATCAGTGCAGATGTGCAGGGCGGGGTTATGCTATCCAGGGCGCAACAGCCAGCCTCGTTTACCAGAGCTGCCCTATAGATATGGCTGCACTGCTGTCCTCTGCTGTGAAAATTTTGTACGAGTCAAGGAACTCTCTTCTGAATTCAAACAACTGTGCATTTCCATACTCTTCACCTAAACACTATGGTTTTTTATGCTTTGTTATATGTAAATCTCACATTCTTTCCAGGGGTGGGGGAATCCTTTGACGTAAGAAGACAGGAATGGTTAGAAGAACTGGATGAGGAAGAAGTGAGAAAGGAATAAACGTGGTGTATAAGCCAGGGCATGGCGCCCAGTCACACACACACAGACACACACACAGACACGCACACACACACACACACACACACATATATATATATATATATATATATATATATATATATATATATATATATATATATATATATATATATATATATATATATATATATATATATATATATATATATATATATATATATATATATTATATATATATATATATATATATATATATATATATATATATATATATATATATATATATATATATATATATACGCACTTCGCACGTGTCGACAGGATGGGCTCCGCGGCGTAGCCTATCGGCCACAGACTTTGGTATCATGGAATAGAGCAATTCGTCGCCCCTCTGGCGCCATGCTTCTAGCCTCACGAGGTTCTCCTCGAGTGTCTGACTCTTGCGTTCTTGCTGCGAAAAGAGAAAGAGCATTGGGTTTCTTTTTACCGAGACACATGTAGGTGTATACACATGTCAACTCTATGCCATCGCTGCATCTTGCATCGCTGCATTCGCAAGAAATACATGTATGCAGGAGCTTTCGTGGATTCCTTCATGAATAAAAAAAACATGCCCCACCAATTGTGTAATTGGTTAACATTTTTTTACTGAAGGCATCTGCTTTGTTTCTATGTCTTTACAGAGCATATAACTTATGATGGTTGGAAACAATCAAACGAAATGTCAAGCGCGAGAGGTACGAGGTGATTGTCATTTCAAAATGGCCAAGATAAGCTCCCAATGCACCACGCCGTGATGTTTTCTGGCGCATTATGCCATTCTCTGATCTCTTAATTCAAATCGTATCATTTCCTGCTCCACGTTGCGTGGTATCGAACTTTTTTTTGAGTTGGTTTATGTTCCATGTTTCCCCTCATATGTTATAACAGGCGAGATGCAGTAATGATACACTTCTCGCTTTAATAAGAGAGACAGATTTCTTGTCATTATTTGGGAGTGCCTGCCCAATGTTCTGCAGCCCTTTCTTATTCTTCGGGGAATTTCTCTTTCGTGATTAGGCTACTTTTTCTGTGATTATGTTAGGCATACATATTCTTTCACATACTCCAATGTCTGGTTTCCAATCGCGAGCTTTTTGTGATACCTTATTATCTGGGGTTTATTCACCCAAAACCTCGATATGATTACGAGAAGCCGTAGTAGAGGGCTCGGGCAATTTTGATCATCTAGTGCTCTTTAATATGCACTGACACGGACAAGACACGGGCCTCACAAGGTTTCACAAGATACGAGCCCCTGAAATTTCACCTTCATCAAAATTTGATTGCCGTGGCCGGCATCGAACCTGTGACAACCGGGTCCGCAGCCGAGCACTGGTTACCACTGCTCTATCGCGCGGAGCCTGAGCTTTTTATCATTTGCCACGTTATTTGATCATTATTTTGTCTTAATAATGGTTATTTTAAACCTGCTTTATTATTTTCTTTGTTTAGTGTTTCCTTAATAATTTTTCATCATCTATCGATGTTATGTTTATTCCAGAATGCATCCGCGTTTGAACGTAAATCAACAATTTATTATACGCATTCAGTCAGGACCCACCTCACTGTAAGAGACTTCCAAGTTGGCGCCATGTTGCCACTCAGCCAGCACAATGTCGCGTGTCATGTCGTGGATGCACAGATCCTCCAGGTAAAGTCCTGCCATCTGAAGCTCATCCAGGCCGCTTAGTCTGCGCACGGGTGTCAAGAAAACCAGCCCGCTGATTGTCTGGTGTCGCTTGTTCCAGCGCAGTACAGTGAAATTCATGATTGATACTAGAATACAACTAGTTTTTTTTTTCATGAGATGGCATGCGCGTATATCGCCTGTACAAGTTTTGCTTCTGTTTCGCTGATGTTGTTTAGGGTTGATTAGGGAAGTTTTTTTCTTTATATGCTTGTCATTGAAAAAAAAGGCTACTTTCATTTATGAAGTAACTTGAACTCTCAGAGCACAATGCGAAATTTTGATAGTACGCCACATATCGGCTGCGCCATCAACCGACGAAGCATTGAGAAAATATTTCCCCGCCAAAACAGACGCAGCGTCTTTATAGAGAGGCCCACGCGTAAGTGGTGAAAAGAAAACGCTTCAAGTGGCTGAACGTGCAAGCTTCGATGCATGCAAGAAAGTCTTAATGATCGTGTAGTATTTACCCTGCGTCTGAATCTGAAGATTGCGCAATGATTTAGTATCGGGCTCCTGTGGTCGAGGTCGTGTGTTCAATTGCTGGGGCAAGGTTTGCTTCAATCATTTTTTCCTTCATTCTTGTTCAAAACAAACATTGTTCTTGAGGCATCACGATACATCACATGTCAGGGCTAATGCCTCTCACTAACCGACAACAAATAGTAGTAGCATCGTTGATTTACCTTCAGTAACGCCTTAACATACACACGAGTGCCTTGGGCTATATATTACACATAAATAAGCTATGCGTGGCTCTTAATTAAACAAATATAGCGTGTTCTGCAGAGCGCAAGAAGAAGGACATGCACATTCGACATGCCTGTTATACCTTTTGTCGTCTTTCTTTTTTTTTTGCTTCTCACTACGCTCGCTGAATCAATATGAACATAACAGTAGGCAACAGAGTACCCCTGCACTTCTTCACATTGTTCACAAACCCCGCTGCACGCAATATTTTGTTCTAGTATACGTTGCAGTGCCACAACAGCTTTCTGTTTCTTCTACAAAGAGACAGGGTAGCACGTACCAAAGAAGGTGAATGGCAGTATGCGCAAGAAGGGCTGGTATCGCAAGACGTAATGATACCGCTTAATTGGTCTGGTCAGCATCTCATATATCAAAGTGCTGGTCACGCATACGGAGTTCTCATTCACAGTGTATCATTACCGGATTTTTTCCTTGCTAACATTAGCAGTTATTTTCATTATTGCTATAGACCCCGCCAGTTACACAACCTTCCTCGAACACTCTTAGTCAAATCCTGGCTAGAATTCACTCCAGCAGGCAGGAAATTCAGTCATAATATGGCTGCTTCTACTCAGTTCGTTACGCAGCTTCACAGCAGTTCAACAGAGGAAGTGGCCTAATTCCGGGTAGCCTTGACAATAGGCGAGACAAAGATTAGCCGTAATTTCAAGTCAAACTTTTTCTCACTATGTACGGTATGCCGTCACGCGTGGCACTTCCTTAGGCGGCCTGGCTCCGACGCGGTTGCGGAAGAGAAAGCATTGTTTTTTTGTTTTCGAGTTGATTTCGTGGTGAATATTATACAACACGTAATTGTAAGAATCGTGTCATAACATTCATCTGCATATGAGATATCAACATTCAAATTAGATTCAGCAGTGGAAGCGAAATCGAAGCCGCATGCACACGAAGCAGGTATTTTACTCATTGCACCAGAGCACCGCTGCATGAAGACAATCTTTTTTTTTTTTTGCAGAGTTATATATCTATCTACCAAGTAGTTTTTTTTTTCATACCGTCAGCGAAACCTTGAACTTCTGTGCTTGCGCCACATGCATTTGTTCGGGCATGTATTTGGTCAGCGAATGGTTTGTAGGGCTTCATGAACTCCAGAAAACCGCGGTGAGCGTTTCGGCTCCGACTTCGGTTCGCGGTGCGCCGCTCTGCACGAACGATTAACATCTCTTCGTGCGTAGTTTTCGTGCTTCCCCATAAACCTTGGGTGTCTCGCTCCCCGAGATTTCGTGGATACCTGCGTGACGAGGCTATCATCAGTTCTCAAAACCTAGATATGTTTCTCGCATTTGCGTGTGCTGTGAGCAAATTTGCTTATTTGTGTCGCGAAGTACACGCGCGTCAGTGACAGCAGCCTAATCTCAGCTGTTCAAACACAATGCACGTTCGCACGTTAACGGTACATGGGCAATTTAGCGTGCGTACTCTAACATTTGCTTTTCCTGCGCACGAACTCCCGCAAGCAGCACGCGGGGGCAGCAGCACCTTTTCATCATTTCGACGACTATTCATTCTCGCAATAAGCATTTATGCGCACTATTTCGCGATGTACAGTGGTATTTACTCTTTTTAGGTCTTTGAATGTCCATATTTATGGAGAATGGCTACTCTTACCTTTATTTAGCATCACACTGCTGTTGAAGTGAATGCCTAAACGTGGGCCGATGTCAAGTATGTCGTCCACAAACTAGTCAAGGCCAGGTAGGTCTCCCTTAAAATAAATAATGCTTCTGCACATCTCTCTCGCGAACGTCCGGATGCAGTTATGGTCAAGAGATCGCGCAGAACGAACCTGAAAATTTCTTTTGTAACTGCGTACTGTTGCTCTATAGAAAATGGAATTTTTTACAGCTGGTACATTATCTCCACAGCAGTGCACTGATTAGCTTGATCGTGGTTCAGTGCTACGTATTCATGCTGCAATATGAGAACTGTAGTTCATTTTCAAAAGGGTGTGCGAATGTCGCTGGCATACACTTTCCTGCTGACTTCTGCACCTGTGCTTGATGTTAAACTTCATCGTGAAATTACGCAACCACTACTAAAACATCAACCCACCAATTTTCAATGTTTATCATTATCTGTCTCGCTGCCTTTTGTTTAGTTTTTTTTTTTTGAAATGCTTTCCCGAAATTATCTCTTAAACTTGTTTTGTAGAATACGATCATCAACAAACATAGAACTGTGTTTCAGTAAGCTTTATTGCAACAACTCTTTCATTTAGTGCATGACAAATGTCATGCCTCGACAACTGATAAAATAGAAGTTGCTTGTAGTCTCTTATTAAAATCAAACAAGTAATACCGGAGTACACATCCCAGTGCTTGCACAAAATCTTGAATAAAGTGTACCGTAAGGCACTGCAAAATGTTGGCGTCATAGAAACACTTGTGGAAAACACGTATGTCAATGAGTCTTGCTGCTTCGGCAGAAGTTTCTTCTTGAAAAGAATATCAAACAAAGAAGTCCATTATGCTGTCAGCGTTCATCAGGTTGAATGTTTTACTAAAAACTCTGGCTCGACTATTTTTACCTAAAACTTTTTTCAAACACAGCAAATAAAATGAAAATTTTAAATGTTGCTTGCAAATATTTCATGTTTTGTTTTGCGCTTAAGGAGCAATGTGTAGACTGTCATTCGTGTAATAAGTAAAGAAACACGGCAAAAAAAATAAAACACTTCAGGTTAGCAAGTTGATGTTTCTTTACATCTTATTTCAAGGGAAACGAACAATGAATGATAGCTAGTGTGTTTTGCCGATCATTTGTTCATGAAAGGCGTTACTGTAAAAAAAAAATTCATTGACCCTGTAAACATTCTGCAACTTCTGCCATAAAGATAAACCTGGAGCTCGATAATACAAAACGGATATTTTCAAAATATGATCCATAACAAAATGGACAGTTTTAATTCGTAACTGAGCATTTATATCAAACTCTGCTAATGTCATAGCAAAACGTGAATTTTCTTGTTAGTATTTCAATACCGTCTGGCTAAACCAATAAAAAAGCACTTAAAAACTGTCTGTGCGCCCCATGCCACCTTGCTCCTGTCAGTCGTGAAATGAGTATATCCTGAATTATTTTTATGCCGATTTATTTTTGCTATTACCCTAATTATTCCTTTGCCAGCACTCAAGAGACATGCAATCCACAAAGCACTTTAAGTCTGCACGAACGTATATATTTACGTAACAGAGGTAAGCAGATCACAGAATGCATGTAGCCTATCTCTTCAACTGTTTGCCCTGTTAAGCACGTTTACTTGCTTGGCACTACCCAGTTCAAGGACTATGAATGGACACAAAACGGACAGTGACTTTAGTTCGAAAATGTTATTGAAAGAGCACCTTAAAAATACAAATATTTACACATGTTCTCACAAGATACAAGGGATCACAAGGGATCTTAAGGGATCTCACAAGGGATCGCAATCACAAGGACTCTTTTTGCTTAAAAACTTGCACAGATAATGAAATTTTAAGGTTTATCATTGAAGAAAATTCTAGTTGGTTGCATGTGCACAGCTGTGTGGCACCCGAACAAGGACGTCCACGGTAGTTCACTTCTGTATCCACTCTGAAAGCTGGAAAACGGGGGCACTAGGTTATATACGTTGCACGCTAATATTGAGTCCAATACAACACTTAACGATAAACACAAACAAGTGACGTAAGAGACCACATAAAATAAAAGGAAACTTCAGTTTACTGGACATGGCATCAAATGATGGCGTGGTAAACAAGGCTTTTAGCTTGAGTATTTATTTTCTGAAAGCAAGTTGCAGCCTGCGCACTTAATTGCAAGCAATCATATCGCGCAAAACAACCTCAACACGGCGCGCTCGCGTGCCGAACTACTAGCCAGTATAAATAGTGTAGATAATGCCCGCACAGATATTTTCACACCCCCCATAAAGCTCCTTACAACGTTACTGGGTATGTGCTCCTATTGTCTTTTTCTTTGCTTTTTGTTGAACTTTCCCCGTGGCGCACAGTGCAGATTGACACCGGCAAGCGCCCGAGCGACTAGCACACTGAAAAAGAAGAATTACCCAGGTCTCTCCGTTTCCGCGAAACGTCCATCCTCGGCACAACGTAGGAAGGCACCGGGCTAGGGCCATTACACTTTGGAGAACATCAGGAACGATCCTCATTCAGTTAGTTTTGTCGATGCCGCTAAGTAGGGTCACTCAGCTAGGTTTTCTGTTATTTCCGTCAATCATATGGGCTCTATTATCAATGCTGCGTCAGTTAGGGACTCTACTCTCTCAAGAGCCGAACATTTGGCTGTAGCCGTTGCCTTTTTGGATGACA